AATTTACTACAATAAGACAGGATTTATACAAGGAAGAGCACCAGGAGATAACACCGGGAAGATAATATATCTGTTTAATTGAGCCACGAGGAATAGAGAACCCATGCTGGTCCTGTCATTAGACGCAGAAAAAGCATTTAACAGGGTCAGCTGGGTTTTCTTGGAGGAGACCCTGCTGGCTATGGGCTTTGGCCCATTAATATTAACCGCTGTAATGTGAATCTATACAAATCCTACACAAATAGTGGGACAGGGGATTGGGTCACCATGTCGCTAAATGCTGATGATATCATGCTAACATTGATTAAACCAATGGAATCAATACCCGCTCTACTTGGAGAAATTAAAAAATATGGTACCCTGTCAAACAGCCTGTATAGCCATAACTCAGGAAGAGCGACTAAGTCTAGAAAAAAGGTACTCTTTTATGTGGTCTCTTTTTTATATTCATATTTATTTATCTCAGAAGATTAGAGGAAAAAGAGAGAATATTTAGTCCAAATAAAAATAGTTAGATAGTTTGGGCAGACTAGATGGGCCAAATGGTTCTTATCTGCCGTCACATTCTATGTCTTGTAATAAAATGTAACTTTTAATGTGTCAATTGGTAAAAATATTTATTTTATTACCACTAGGTGGCGGTAGAGTATAACCACACAGGAAATGAGATAATTCGGGATTATTGTAGCTTCAGTGACTGAATGATCTAAATTTTATTAAAGACAGGAGGCAAATATTTGCTTTAACCTTTATTACTGAACCTCCCAGCAGCAAAGAAATATTTAAATATAAAGATTAAAAAATCAACCAATCAGGACACATCTTGGAACATCTTAGCCTATCAGGCTCCTCCCAATTCCTCTTTCTCGATGCAGCCAATCATAAGTGTAGTCAACCGTATAAACTTGAGTAACAACCATGTAAACCAGAACGGAACCGATACTGGAGACCAAAGGAACGTAGTCCTCATGGCTCATGTAGACAAAACTTCACACTAAAAAGACAGAGAAAAATCGTGAAAGTATGGTCACTTGGACTGGGTGTCTGCAAGATATCTACATACACAGATATACCCCCTGGATATCACGAGTATAAAACTATGGCAAAATCTAAAAGCTACAACCAGGTAGATTAAGAAACCAGAGCAAACCGAAAACAGGCAGTTTAATATAAAGTTTTACAGGAAACCTATACTTTACCTAAAAGTATCTGGGATGAGATATCAGTAGGGTGGGAAAATATTCACTTCCTGTCTTTAATAAAATTTTGATTATTCAGTCACTGAAGCTAGAATAATCCCGAATTTTATAGCAAGACAGGAGGCTTCATATTTTCTATTTTAAAGCGTGGAAAAGAAAGAAAAGGAAGCATGGGACGGTTGTCGAAAATAAAAGGTACGGAAGGTAGATTCTCTAGACCAAACAGCGAATGATAGGATGTCTGCAAGGGATCCCCCAGCCATAAAGGCGGAAGAGGCGGCAGCACCTCTGACTGAGTGAGCGCCAAATGTCTTTTTTAATGTTCCCGATCTTTACTGCAGGAAGCTGTAGGATTGCCAAAACGGAATTGTAACCGCGGCTGGTTCCCTTATTTACCACTATAATGTCTTAAAGCATAGAACTTAGTAGGGCTAACCATACAGATATCTTAGCCATAATTTTATATAGTTAGTGTAAGAGATCCTCTATTTAACATATATAAATAATTGAGAATATAATATAAAATAAGGATTGTCTTGGAAGCAATAGTTTTGTCTTTTAGATATTTATTATATAAAAATATAAGTATAGACATATAAAATCCATTATAGCAGAGTTTATAAGATTAAACTAAATGCTTGCAAATATCATTAATAGGTTAACATACCCTTCTGAACATGTCATCATGTCAGCCTCTCTGTCATTTTAAGATGGAGCAGCGTCTGTCTCCAAGTCTCTCCTCTGTCCCTTAACATTTAAAAATACACCTATTTATACCTTGCGTGTCTTCATTTTAGGGTTACCGTAGTTCATATATGAAAAAGTAACACTTTTACTTTATTTATTTTAGGACCTCCCTTAACTTGGCAAAATACAAGGCCATAAAAACTTAAGGGTGCACACGTCATGGGGAAGTTCCCTAACTTGAGACAAGATGGCATCTTAAAGTCTGAACATCTTTATCTACTTAGGGCTACCACAGTATATTAGTATAGTATGTACTGAAAGAGTCGTAGCATAGCCTTGAAGCTTGTTATACATTATTTCTATTGTATTTCGTCTGGGATAAAATGGCGTAAACATATTATGCACTAAAGTTATTGATTAAAGAAACCGTTATGAAAAACAATATGTTCCATTTCTAACACCTTGTCAGTTTGCAATATCTCTTAAAGACAAAGTACACAGTTTAAGAAATACAACATTTCATTCTAAAACTTGTAATATTTGCCCATAACAGAATCTATTTGGAATCCGAGGAATTTAACCATCTGAGACGATGTGAGGACGGACTTTTGGACATTGATCTTGTTCCCCAAGTTCTGTAATAGAGCTGTGGTCATGTCTGTATGGAGGCGTACAGTGCCTGGGTCCTGGGCCATAAGGAGGATATCATCCAGATATATGATGGATCGAATCCCCTGAGAGCGTAGCAAGGCCATGACCGGTTTCATCAGCTTGGTGAAACACCAAGGTGCGGAACAGAGTTCGAAGAGGAGGCATGTGAACTGCCATAAATATTGATGCCATATGAACTGTAGGAAACAGCGATGGGCCAGTGTTTTAGGAACCGTGAGGTATGCATCTTTCAACTCGAAATAGGAGAACCAGTCTCCCTCGCAGAGTAAGTCTCGCAGGAAATGGATACCCTCCATTTTGAAATGTCGGTAAACGATAAAATAGTTTAGGTCTTTCAGGTTGATAGCTGGTCGAAAGTCTCCCGACTGTTTCCGGACCAGAAACATGTTGCTTATGAATCTGTGAGAGGACAGAGAATGTTCTATAGCGCCTTTGGCTACAAGGCCATTTAGCGCGGCCTCTTGAGACATATGCTGAGGAGGGGAGACCCCAGTAGAGGGTCATTTGCAAAATCTATATGGAAACCAGATACGGTTTGAAGGATCTATGGATCCCGAGTTAATAGAGACCACATTTGGAAAAAAAAGGGTTAACCGGCCTGCAATAGGAAGTTGAGAATAAGGAAAGTCGATTACCTGTAGCAGAGCGGCCACGGAGGGAAGCAGATGCACATCCTCTGATGGATCATCTAGAGGGAAAGAACTGCTTGTAATAGAAACGGGTATTGCCCGAATTCCATGCGTCTGATGGTCGAGGCCTGTAGCCTGTGAAGGCAGCTCTGCCAGTCATTCTGCCCCTGTAGCGACCAGCTCTCCCAGAAAAATGCTGGGTTCTAAACACCCTGTAAAGGGATGATTGTGCCTTATTGAGGGAGGTTAACAAGCATACGTGTTTATTCAGGTCCCATATGAACTTGTCCCCAAATTACAGTCGGTTAGTTTCTGGACCAAGTTATTTGGTGTCTAGTTCTATCAGTTTGGCATAAATTTTATATAGCACGATTTTATGCCGTTCAATTGAAATAGTGACATTGGCATTGTCCAACAGGCATAACGCTTTTTTGCCCATTCACACACCATGTGTGCGTTGAAATTTACACCTGCTAGCGCCTCGTCAGCAATTATAAAAATCTGAATTAGCTGGATCCATCAGTTTATCTTGTGTGGCTTTTAATCCTATTTCGATGCCTTTGCTGGGATCTTTGCCCTTCTTAGTAAGAAAGTGACCAGGAGTGGGTCAAGTTCAGGGGTGATAGCCACCTTATCAGGGATTGTAGGCCGCATACATTCTGCTCTTAATTTTGCTCTAATTTCCTTTTCTAAAGATTTACAAAGCCATTCCGCTGAACGAGGGTGTCTGATACAGCGTTGGTCAAAAAGTGGACACCCATTTTTATATATATATATATATATATATATTATTTACTTATTTTCATTTTTTTATTATTATTATTTATTTATACTAACAAACTTGACAAAACAAAGCAAAGGCAGAGGCTTTCTATTGGGGTTCACTCACACAAAATATTCAGTTGTTTTAAAGGTACTCAGTGGGGTTCATCCACAGTTATGGCAGTTAAACTGTCAGTATAATAATGACAGGTGAAACCTGTCTAATCAATAAACATGGGGTTCACTCTGGAGGTAATAAATACAATAGAAGGGTTCACTCTCAGAGATAAGGAAAGAGAGGGTCACCCTCTAATAGGCACAGAGCTGTACTTATGTATGAAGGCAGCTGCAATAAAAAACAAATGGGCTATGAGAAATTAAATGTTCTATAATAGTGACATTATTAAAACGTTTACATTCCAAAAAAAGTGTAAAAATATTACTTGAGGTTTTTTTGCCATAGCATTAAAAAAAAATCCTGTTACTTTCTGGTTTGGTTAGCTCAGTGGAGCTAAACTCAAAAGACAGCAATTGCCCAGAGCACCTGCCTTGCAAATACTTCTCGTTGAGCTGCATTGGGAAGTCTGTGATTGGACAGCCACAGAAAGTCTGAGCGTCGTTAGAAGGGGAGGGCTTGTAAAGGCCCCAGGGAGAGTGCGCAGCTTAGTGGACAGGGGCACATGTATGAGTGTGGGATGGATGATGGATGATTGGCTATATGCTACATGTGGGAGTGTGAGATGTGAGGAAGTGGGTGGTGACAGATCAGACTGACCTCATTGCCCTTAGGAGCCGGGCCAGCAACAAGTTTCCCGTGCACCCTCCCTTTGCTGCTTTGGGTCCGGGGGGTTGTCACAGCGAGGCGGGGGTGTGTCCTTGCCAAATAAGGGATGGTTTGGTAGATTAGATGAAAAGGGGGGATAATGGCCAGGTCTCATCCTCCCCATGTCTCCTATGGTGAACCTGGAGAAGGTACCAGGTTGGACGTGTCCCCACTGGGTTGTAAGTCGACCAGTGGGGAGCATTATAGTTGGGCCCCACGAGTTGGTGGGGAGCCCTGAAAAGGAAGATGGTTTTATTATGCCGAGGTGGGGAGGTGAGAGCCTTGGGGAAGTTAGATTGGCAAGGACGGTTTCTTTGGTTACTGTATGACTATATGCAAATTGTTTATGTTAATTTATGATATTTATTATTTCGTTATATGTTAAAGGAGTCATACAGTATTTGGTTGTGTTAATAAATGCTGTGGCCTGTTTTTCTCCAAGAAGTTGTCTGTCGTTATTTGAAGGGGTAAGTTATGGTTTTATGGGGGATGAAGGGAATGCTATCCAATGCCCACTACGTACATACAAGGCTGCATACATGAGATCTACAGCTTTTACAAGCTGGTTTTAGATATACCCAAATTAAAAAAGAAAAAAAAGAAAAAAGAAATGCATGAATGTTTGCATGTGGAATACATCTACTAGAGTGATTTTTTTTTGTGTGTGTGTGTGTGTGTGTGTTTTGTGCTGTGGAGGGTAGCAATATATTTAATGTTACTACTACTAATAGGTATACACTCGAGTATAAGTCGACCCGAATATAAGTCGAGGCCCCTAATTTTACCCCAAAAAACTGGGCAAACTTATTGACTCGAGTATAAGCCTAGGGTGGGAAATGCAGCAGCTACTGGTAAATTTCTAAATAAAATTACATCCCAATAAAATTATATCAATTAAATATTTATTGTGTGTATAAATAATGCATGCAGAGTGTTGGTGCAGTGTATATATATATATAATGCATGCAGAGTGTTGGTGCAGTGTGTATATATATAACGCATGCAGAGTGTTGGTGCAGTGTGTATATATAACGCATGCAGAGTGTTGGTGCAGTGTGTGTGTATATATATAATGCATGCAGAGTGTTGATGCAGTGTGTGTAAACTTGGTGGGGTGGGCATTTTTATTATTTTTTTTAATATTAACATTTTTATTTTATTATAATTGTGACAAAATGCCTTTTGTCACTGGATTTTTATATGACCAACTGCCCTTTGCCCCTGGCTGTTGAAGGAGCCTGATCGCAGGCCTCCTCCCTCATGACTATGGCCCTGGGTGTATTGCCATTTAAAAAGACTATGTGGGGCTTATTGGCTTCTAAAAGACTGTTTCTGCCCATTTGAATCCATGGGAAGATGTGTCTCTTCCCCTCCCCCGTTTCCTGTCTATTGTTCCAGAAGGGCGTTGTCCCAGGCACACTGCCAGACCAGTTGGAACTTGCTGTTTTGCCCCTCCTCGGTCTCTCATCAGCTCTTGCTGTGTTATAACCCCATGGCGATTTGACTGTGGTTGCGGAATCTGAGCGCTGTTCGGATATAGAGAGCGCTCAGATGAATGTGGGGGCTCTGTTAAGTACAATAGGAATTATGTATTTTTACTGTTGTGAATAGAGCCATTTTTCTGTATGATGGAGGTAATCGGCTTACCACACCCCAGCAATGCTTGCAGATGGTCACAATGGGACTTTCAACTAACTTTTGACCCACTGGACCAATTTGTATGATTTTGACGTATGTTTGTATTTGGAGTATGCTGATTCCGAAAAAGTTTTATGTGAATGATGTATACTTTTACAGTTATGTTGTGTAAAATTGTATTTTCCTGCCTGTGATAAGTTAGACCATTGTGTTCAGTAATTCTCATTCCCTGGTGGTCCAGTGGCATTGGCGGTGTAGGAGGGGGGCTGACAGCAAGCAGTAACTTACCTTTCCTGCAGCTCCCTTCTCCTCCACTGTAAGTCTTGCAGTCTGAGGGCCACGCAGAGCGTTGCCATGGTAACCTGTGGCAATGCTCAGACGCCACAGCTCTTGCAAGACTTACAGTGGGGAGCTGAAGGAAACAGGACCACCGTGCTTGTAATGAGCCCGGTGGTCCTGGTCTGTATTATGGCAAAGTTGCCATAATACAGACATTGACTCGAGTATAAGTCGAGGGGGGTTTCAGCACAAAAAATTAAATAAAAATAAGAGTGCTGAAAAACTCGACTTATACGGTACATATACAATCAATCTTAATACAAAAATAAAAAACACTTGAGGCAGTTTATTACTTTTGTGATTTATTAATTTTAATGCAGGTTTATTGGCTTCAACATTCCCTCCCTCCCCTCTTTAGTAGATTTTAGAACTAACTTGATTCCTTCTCCCCTCCCTTAAAAGATCCAAAAGATATATTAAATGAGTGTTTAATTTGCTTTTTATATGGTTCAAAGTCAGAATAGTATATCCAGATTTTCAAAGTTAGGTCTAAAAACCAAATCTAAGTTAAACCAAAAAAAAAAAAAAAACCCACACGCAAACTCAGAAATTTTTTATTTTTTCCATTTTACTTTCAGAAGACTTTTCCCCCCACTGTAAACGCTGCACATACTGATTGCTACCACCATGATCACTTCTAAAAGCAGAAGTAGTCATGGTGATTGAAGTAATCCTTTAAGAATTAATTTGATTAAATCTCTCTTTCCTTACAAGCTACAATGTACCCACTCTGTTTATAATCTACTAAGTGAGTGTTTAATTTACTTTCATATACTTCACAAATCACAGTGGTATACCCATTGTCTTGGAGAACTTCCTTCACAAACTCTTCATTATAGTTTAACATTGAAAACCTATGATCACCAATCATATAGTAGGTCCCATTGAAAAGGGCAAACAGAATGACGTGACCTCCCACCTTCACAAGGGATGAGAATTTTTTAAAGCTGTTGCGATAGCTGTCATGATCTTTACAGGTACTAAAGTACCAGACACTGATGGCACAGTCTGCTTGAGGCAGTACGACGGAACCCAGTGGATTGTCATTGGTGGGATCCCATTTTAAACAACGTTTGACAATTCTTCTGAATTTCTCTTCTTCAGCTTCCAAGTGTTCACTGAAATTCAATAGTTGTGATATCATAAAAACTGTAAAAGTGTTCCGTAAATGCATTCATCCAGTTGTCGCTTAAAGGGACACTATAGTCAACAGAACAACTACAGCTTAATGTAATTGTTCTAGGGTGTAATGTCTATCCCTGCAGGAATTCTAATGTAAACACTGCATTTTTTAGAGGCTGAGATAATCAAATGTAATAAATTCAGGCAAGGGATTGGAGCAGGGGGGGTGCCAGCAATGACGGACCTGCTCGGCATTAGAATAAAGGTGCATAAACTCAACTTTTAAATTGCTTAAGGCTCTAAGTAGTGTTTTCATACCTACAGTGACAGACAGGGCTGCCATCTGAAATCTTGGGGCCCCTGACACAGGTCAACTTCTGGGCCCTTGGAACCTGCCCCTGAGTCTGCCCAGAGGGCCACACCCGAATCTGCACTCTGCTCCTGAGTCTATCCACAAGGTTGAAGTGCGTGTGGTGTGTATAGTGTAAAATGCATTCATTGTGTGGTCCAATAAGGTTTTCTATAAATTTGGTTATTTGTTGTTTTTAATGAAAGAAAACAAGCTCGTGTGTAAAAACAGTTACCTTGTGAAACCGCTGCTGTGCTCCTCCTGACAACTGTAAGAGAAGTGCAAACAAAATACAAAATAATAAATATTAGGCTTGTCTTTTCCAAGACTACATGTGTGTAACCCTGAAGGACCATGGTGCTTCAAAGTGAATTTAAGGTACATTTCAAATTTAAGAGCAAAATATCCAGACTGGAAAAATTATCCATGTCAGCTATCCTTCAGTACAATATGTTTAGCTTAAAAAATTGAAATTTCTTTTGAATTTACACCTTAGTGAATGACCCTGTAAGTATAAGGAACACTCCAAACACATGATGCACTTGGGCTTGCGAAGTGTTGTATGCGAAGGATAGGACCTCTTTTTCTTATTTTAAAGAAGTGCTGATCAATATAAATGTTACACCCCCAGGGCCGTCAGATAGCAGGTTCTGTTAATTCAGGGGTGCAAAACCCAAGAGACAGAAATTTTCCAGGAAACCTGTCTTGAAATGATGTGGCATCGTGCTGTAATACAACTCATTGAGAAGTCTGACTGAACAGTCATAAAAAGACTGCAAGCAAAAATGTTGCTATACACCCAAAGAAGTCATGCAAATATTAATATAGTGTTTTATGTAGAGGAGGGGTAGGCAACCTTTGGCACTCCAAATGTTGTGAATTACATTTCCCCTGAAGCTTTGCCAGCATTATGAAGATATAGCCAACAACTGGAGTGTCGAAGGCAGCCTACCTCTGTTCTATTTGAACAGCATGCAACATGCCTGGACAACACAATAGTCAATGAAAGCAGTTGTTATTGATCTTATTGAGTGGGCTAGCTATTTATACGGGATTTCAGAAATATTAAAAGCAGCACTGTTTTCTGCCACCCTGATAAGGGAATATTTAATAAAGATTGAATCTGAAATTCCAAGCCAGTCAATAAATACAGAAACAAAGTTCTCTATTTCTCCTAACTTTTAGACTCAGGGCAGAGTCCGAGTGTTAATCCCAGCAGCCATCACCAGTTATGGATCCTCCATAGATCTCAATGTAATACTCTTGCACATGCGAGATAGTACAGCAGCGACATCGGCTCCCAAGAGGACCCACCAGATTAAGATGGCCACGCCCATGAGGGACAGGCTCAGGTAAGTAAATATCACCCTTTCCTGTCCCTCCTGGCCACCTGACCCCAGCTTTGATGTCACCGTCAGGCAGTGGCGGCTCTAGACTTTATGAGGCCTTAGGCGAAACTCAAACAAGAGGCCCCCCACTAGCACTCATAGTAAAAAAACATAGGGGTTGCATCGTGTGTATAATGAGCTGTGGTTATATTGAATGACAGGCTTGCAGCGCTGGATACAGAGAGCTAGTCTTTGTATTCACTGTTGGGGTGAGTGTGGCACGGTTAAAGGAGAAAGTGTGACAGGGCGAGGGGAGGTGAGAGTGACAGGATGAGGGAGGGTTATGTGACAGGGTGAGTGTGGCGTGGCGTGGCTTAGCAGGATGAGTGACAGGATAGGAGAAGTTAATGTGATAGGGTGAAGAGGGATGAGTTTGACAGGGTTATGGGTTATGTGTTACACGGCTGGAGGAGGGAGTGTGACAAGGCGAGGGAAAGTGAGTCGGACAGGATTATGTGATAGGGTGAGTGTGGCACGGTTGGGCACAAGTGGAAGGGTTAATGTGAAAAAGGATGAGTGTGAGAGGGTTGGGGGAGAGTGTGACAGTATGAGAGAAGATGGCTGTGGTAGAATTAGGGGGATTAATGTGATAGGGTGAGTGTAGAAGAGCTAAGGGCCGGTACTTGTGGTATGGATGGAGAAGGTGAGAGCAACAAGATTAGGAGAGGTTAATGTGAGAAAGGCTGGGTGAAGTGGGCATGACAGCATGTGACAGTGTGGGGGTGGCTGTATGTGTGTGGAATTGTGACGTGGGTAGGTGAGAGTGTGGGAGGCAGTGTTGGAAAGGGTGAAAGTGTGTGCAGGGGCAGTGTGTGGGAGGGGTGACTGTATGTATTAGTGACAGTGTTGGGGGCTGACAACATGGGGTGCAAGTGTGTGAAAGGGTAACAGGGTGAGAGCAGTGTGGAGGAATGTGACAGTTTTGGGGGCAGGGTGTGAGTGGGTGACAGTGAGGAGGAAGATGACAGTGTGGAGGATGGTGACCGTGTGGGGGGCAGTGTGTTACAGTGTGAGAGGGCAAGGTGTGTGACCATGTATGTGGCAGAGTGTGTGGGAGACCGTGGGGGGCAGGTTATGTGGTGGTCACTGTGGGGGGCAGGTTATGTGGTGGTTAATGTATGTGGTGGTTAGTGTGGGGGAAGGGTATATGGGGCAGTGTATGTGGTGGTCAGTGTGGGGCAGTGTATGTGATGGTCATCAGTGTGGGGGGCAGTATATGTGGTGGGCAGGGCAGTGTGGGTTGGAGGGCAGTGTATGTGGGTAGGAGGTGGGGGTGGGAGGGAAGTGTTGGGGCAGTGAGGGTGGGAGGGCAATGTTGGGGCAGTGTGTGTAGGTGGACAGTGAGGGTGGGAGGGCAGTGTATGTAGGTGGGCAGTGAGGGTAGTGTTGGGACAGTGGGTGGGAAGGCAGTGAGGGTGGGAGGGCAATGTATGTAGGTGGATAGTGAGGGTGGGAGAGCAGTGTTGGGGCAGTGAGGGTGGGAGGGCAGTGTTGGGACAGTGAGGGTGGGAGGGCAGTGCTGGGGCAGTGAGGTGGTCCAGTGGCAGAAGTCCCTGGTGGTCCAGTGGCAGAAGTCCCTGGTGTATGTGATGGTCAGTGTATGTGGTGGTCATCAGTGTGGGGGCAGTATATGTGGTGGCAGGGCAATGTGGGTGCAGTATATGTGGTGGGCAGTGCAGTGTATGTTGTGGCAGGGTATGTGAGATCACTTCCGTCTGCAGCTCCGCGAGAGCTGCAGACCTTGTTCTCGCGAGCGCCTGTCAGAGCGTTGCCGTGGTAACCCGAGGCAATGCTCTGTGTGCTCGCAAGAAGCACATTATGTGATCTACAGCTCTGCACTCGGCGGAGCTGCAGATCAGAGGCTGGCTCTCCATGTGGCCAGACCATGTGGAGGGGCCACCCGGCGGCATACTGGGCAAGCCACCGGGCCCCCTCTCACTGTCGGGTCCTCGGTCATTGACCGAGGACCCGACAGTTCAGTCTGCCATAAGGCGATTTAGGCAGCCGCGAGGCCCCAGAAAGCGCGAGGCCTTAGACGGTCGCCTAAATCGCCTAATTAGAGAGCCGCCTCTGCCGTCAGGGGTATTCACAAATTAAGCAGATGGTGACAGTGCTGCTTTAATATATGACTTCACTAGATCAAAAGCTCAGATTCCATCTATATTTGCTTCACTAGAAATAGTTCCCATAGTAAAGTACTACATTTGATGCTTTCTTATGGGTGTTTGTGTCATGGGACAACTATTAGAGGTGGATTTAACCCTGCAATACAAACATAGTATATTCTATAAAACTGCAATGTTTTATATTGAAGGGTTAAAAGGACAGGGCCACCACACCCAGATCACGTCATTGAGGATGTAATGGTCTGGGTCCCTTTAGAATACACAAAGC